ATTGCTATGGATGGAATGGGCACCAGGGCAACTGTGCTTTTCTCTTTCCTCTTCTTCCCACACACACCTTTTTGCAAAAGAGCTCTTTCGCAAAAGGCTTCTTCCTCATAGAATGAGGATTACCAATGCCGGAAAAACCCCTCTGTTCTTTTGATTTTCTTGCAGAAGAACACAATTTCAGTATGGCCATTCCTCAAGTTTTGTTGGAAAAACGGCTGTTTTTCCAACAAAACTCTATAGTGTACACATACCCTGATGGTATGTCTAGACTGCAGGGTTTTTCCGGGACACCATAGGTATGCCAGATGAACTCCATTGCATCCAAGGAACACATTTGGTCTTCCGCCTTTTTTTTTTTTTTTTTTTTTTTCTTTTTTTTTTTTTTTTTTTGCAGAAGAGCAAATGCGCTCTTTCAGGGAGCCCTGTATGTCTCGTTCTACAAAGAATAAGGGCTCCTCCAAAAAGGGCTCTTCTGGAAAAGTAATCGGAAAAAGCTACGCAAATTGTGGAGCACAATTTGTGTAGCCTTTTCCAAAAAAAGGCTATAGTGTAGACCTAGCTTAGGAGGAGAAGCTGTTAACAGCTTCCTCTCCCAAACAAAGGACATTTCTACACGAGAAACATTTCCTGGTGTGACAACAATGCTTAGGGGTGAGGGGTTGGGTGTTTTTCCATTTGAGTTCTTTTGGGGTGGGGGAGGGCATTTTTATTTCACCAAAAGTCCTACTGTAGATCAGATATACCAGTAAAAAATGCTTTTACCAGGATAGCGTTTTTGGTGTAAGCGACACTGGCAAAACCTGTTTACACTAGGAGGTTTTGCCACCAATTCTTGAACCTCTCTCATCTGACTGGTGCCGAAACAAAGAATTTGCCAAACCATGGGAAATCAATACTGTCTAGCAGCATTACCAACAGTTCCACTGCTTACTAAGCTCTTACAATACATTTAGGGGTAAATTAGCGCTAAATAACAGCACCGAACATGGAGAGTCAGGACTGGTGGCTGTAAACAAACTTTTATGGGACTGCAGGAAACTTGGACACACCCATGATGAGTGGACATCCAGCTAACTAAAATCATACCAGACCTCAGATGTTGCCGGACCACAAAATGCCAGATGTGAGAGATTCAACCTGTATATCTAACTAATAAAGTTATAGACTGGCCTAAGTGAAGTTAAGCTCAAGCTCTTTCTTTGGCCTTAGCTATATCATGATCAGGTGGGGAGTGAGGTGGTAGTTCCAAAGTTATTTAAGATGCTTCTTGGCAGGTTACAAGTGCAGCTAGATCATAAACCACTCTGTATTCCTCAGTATGATGACTATTCAATTTGCCACAGAATTGTTCTCCAAAATCACAGTTTTCATCTAAACAAAAATTATGTACTTGGATGCAAAGATAACCTTAGAAATGTGAACTGTTTGCAAAATAAAATTTTCCTAAAGCTACATCTACATTATGAGATAGAGATGCGATTCCCCAGCTTATGCCCACATACTAGCCGTATCTCTTATTGAGCTAATAACAGTGCAGCTGTGGTAGCAAAGAGAATGGCTGGAGAGACATGGCTTAGTTGCACCAAACACATGCACACTGGTTTCAGGGGACTGACTTGTGCATCTCCATGACCCATGTCACGACAGCTATACTACTATTTAAATGTGCACTAGCTTGATAAGACCTAACACAGTTATGTGTATGCAGGCTGGGAAAACAGACCCTTCGCTCTTTGTGTAGAGTAGCTTGAGTCTGCAGAGAAGCTGAAATAATAGTTCTAAGAAGCGTATACTAGCTCATTAATCTCAGTCATTATATTAGGGACTCCACAATTCTGTGGTCATACCATCTGATGTTTTTCCAAAATGTGATGGAATTTGCCATTCTGCCACAGAACTCTCCATTTTACTGCAGCCAGACACTCGGTGTTTTGTTTCCGGTCTCTCTGCCCTGCCAACACTTGTTCTCCTGCTTTCTCCACAAAGGTCAGCTAACTGGATTACCTGCACTTCTCCTGCAGTCCCATGCATCCAGGCATCAGGGGGTACGTCTACACTTACCCCCTAGATCGAACTGGGGGGCAAGTGTAGACATACCCAGGGAGACAAAGTTAAACTTCAGCCTGTAGTCAGGGAGAACAGAAAAAGCTGGAAAGTGAGCTGAGAAGGCTGCGCACAACAGCCAAGGGAAAAATGATCCCCTGGATCAGATACAACTCTTCACCTTCTTTTGACAAGGAGGTTTCGAGCCAATCACATGGAAAACATTGTGGCAGAAGAGATGTTTAGAGATAGGCTGCTTAGAGAGTATAATGGAGAAAAAAATATTGAGAATAACCAGTGGCTAGTTTTCCATTTTATGATATAGAATTGTGTATTTTGTAGCTGTGGGAGGATAGGTATGAAGAATTTCATGGAGACAGAATAAATTCCACCACTGCCAAATTTAAAAGCTCTTGCTGTTGAATTTGGCATCACTACACTGCAGAATATATGGTGCCCTAGTTGCAACTTTATGCATACAGTTAAAATTGTGGACTTGTCACTTACTATTAGATGTACAATATGATCAAACATTTACTGTTCTTTTAAATTAAGTTTAGCTGTAGTTTTCTTCCAAAAGGGAATGAAATTCAACCCTTCAGTAAAATTTCCAGCAAAGTCCGCACCACTACCATCTAGAACGTCTCTAGGCACTGAATCATACTCAACGGCAATTATAACATCAGGAAACATCCTATGCAGCATAGTCCTCTTTAAACAGGAAATACCAGCATAACCCCACTCTCTTAACACCTTAAGAATTTTTATGGAACAGAGCGAACAACCCATCAGCTCCTGTTATCTACATATTACAGTGCATAAATAAACATTATGATGGTAGCCAAAGGAATGTATCAATCTGATCCAGTATATTTTACCATTTTCACAGCAATTTCTCCACTGTGGGATCTGTCATATTTCCAAGAAAAAAAAATATCCAACACAAAACCAAATTGCAAAATATTTTTTTTCCCACAAAAACACTGAAGTTGCTAGCACAGACTGGAGAGAGACCCTTTTTAAAAGAACATAAACATTTATCTACTTGTACTGTAATTCACATAAAATTGAGAACAAAATGGGTTAAAAATAGCAGTAGTCTCATTCTAATCTGCTTATTGGAAAAACAAACTCTTATCCTCTGACATCTTTGCAGGCAAAAGCAGAAAAGTCACATGCAAACTTTCCTCACCTCTCTCCCTCACACATACTTACATTAAGGAGGTTAAAAAGTTTAACCACATTGACTTAATAAAGTGTTGGCTTTATCACAACTAATGCAGCCACTTGCAGACTAGGGAAATCACAGCCATTTGTATTAACATGGGGGGGAAACTGAGTTTCATAGATAACTGAATACTCGTACCATCAAGGTCAGTGAAGTCTAAGAGCATTGTATATGTGAGACTGTCAGATCACCAGGGATCAGGATTATAGATGACTTCAGAAGAAGCAGAGCATCTTGTTCTTCAGCAGGTTTACTGCTTTAAATGCCACCCGACCAACTGCTAAACAACACAAAGCACCAGACATAAGACATGATGGAAATATGAACATCCAGGAAAACAAAAAGTAAATTTTGTATTGTAAGAAGGTATTGTAAGAATGCCAGAAAAAGCCTACATTCTGGTCTTCAACTTTTACTCGGTTAATTTCTGCTGATTCTGAAAACTTTATTAACTTGTTCCTTTATTTACTCCATACAAAAAATACACTCACTTTACAAGTTTTCATCAATTAAAATCAGAAATGTGGCCTTATTTCATTACTACTTAAAAGATACTGAAAGTCTATTAATATAGGAAAAAACTATTAAATAAAAGATATTCATTTCATTATTTAGCTGAAATTCTTATTTTACACCAGTAAAATTAATTCCTTCATTTACCTCACAGTGTGAGATCCTGAAAAAAATCTACTTTGATTAACTTTCTGACACCTGACATGATTTGGTAACTTTGCAACACAAGGACAAATGCACTACAAAAACAATGTACAGTCCTGTGACACTGTGATGTAGTATCAGTACCTTGCTGGTTGCTATGTTTTGGCCGTGAGCTGTGGATGACCCCTACTGGCCTCTGTCGGTAAGCACCACCCAGCAGGGGGCATCTTGAGGGCTCCCATGACAGTGACGGAACCGGTTCTACCGGTTAAGGGAAGGGATGGAACAAAAGAAGTGAGTGTTGGGGGAAGAGTCAGTTTCTGGCTGGAATCATGAAGCAGAGAGACTATGGAGGGGGGCTGGGAGTCTAAGGGCCGAGGCATCCCATCTCCAGGGGTCTGAGGCATACTGGCCCAGACTCCTGTAGCCACGTCATGTCTAGGCTGTGCTGTATCCTGGAAAAGTAATAAACCCTCTCTATTCTACTTGCTGGTAAAGTCTGTTCTTGCTGCTACGGGGCTGCATGATCAGGGTGACCACCAACTCACCACCGCAGACAGCTAAGGATATGTCTACACAGCAAGGCTAAAACCAAAATAAGCTATGCAACTTGAGCTACATCAATTGCATAGTAAGGATGTTAAATATTAATTTATTGGGTGATGACCAGTGGTGTTCTGGTATTTTCCTTGTTGGGTCTGTCTTGAAGTAGGTGACTTCTGGGTACTTGTCTGGTTCTGTCAATCTGTTTCCTCACTTCTCCAAGTCCGTTTTTACAGTTAGAGGATAAAACAGCTACCCACCTGAGACTTTCAAATGCTCTGCATTTCACATAATTTATTAGCTCATGCTATGTATAAAAAACCTGCCAAGTTCCCTTCCCTCTTCTGTTGTAAGAACTACTAAAGATGCATATTTTAAATGCCAGGCTCTAACTGAACTTTCAGATTCTTTAACCTGAAACTGGTGCTTGCAATCTCATATGAATATTTTACCAAACCTCTTCAGATTTGGGAACTGATATTTTATTTGCTCAATCCTTTTCCTTTGTGCCTCCTAACCAGATGTTTTTATTAAATCATAAGAAGAAAATCACGTCCTTCTCCTTTTCTCTAGACTTGATTGGATTGTTTGCTCATTGGAAAGTAAAATATTCTTACTGAATTAGAGGATCCCCATGCAAAGCACCCCATCAACCCAAATACAGGTATTAATTTAAGTGATTTATCACTTGTTATATAGTTACAGAAATTAACACAATGCTGTAACAGCTCTGACTTTGCAATTGAGTACTACTGCTCTAATATACCCATAAGAAATGGGTAATGCTTTTCTGTAATGCTTAGACTTTTTAAGGAAAATTATTTATGTAAGGCTGCTGTCCAAATAAGCAAGCTATTTGATCTGATTGTACTTAAACGCTACAGTTTTTGCAAATGAATGTTCACCAAATTACTTAATATAGAAAATTCATACTCTTGAGGATTTCTCCTGACTGCTTGTTTTGTGTCCATAATTTCATGTGGTCAGCATAGTGAACAATGAATGTTACAGTCATCTTATCATAGTTGCTTATTTAAAACAGAATCAGAGAGAAGACTATAACTTTTGATACATGTTTTAACATAGTGAGTTTGATGACTTTTGGTAATCGGGCATCTTCCTATCAATGTCTATCATCTATTCTATATTTTGAAGAGTTTGTTTGTTTGTTAATGGATTTGTTTGTGCAAAATAAAGTCATACTTCACGATTAACTACACATATCAAATTTTGCATAAACAATCCTGCCACTTCAATTAGCTGAATGCACTACTTTTTATATCAGAATATGCTGGATGAAAGGTTTAAATAATTATTTTTGTTTTTCATCAGAAAAAATTCATGACTATTATGATTAGAGTTCATAAAAATATTTGCTAAAAAATTAAAATCAAATTGCCTACTCAACTGTCATTTTAGTGCCAAGAAAATTTTCAGTGTTACAAATCACAAAATAATTCAAAATAGTTATGGAAAGAGTAATGGAAGGTTTACGAGTTTCTGGTTCAAATGTACTATGTTTGGTAATTATTCAATAAAATGAATAATATTTGAAGTTTAAATCCTACAAATTTAAACCGGTTTTTACTTTCCTTTTGCAAGCACACTAATAAAATATTTTAGCACACATATTTAATTTCTTGAACTTTCCCATAAGTGTAATCTACGCAAAATGGCTTTACCCGGTCAACAACAGGTATTACCTGCTAGTTTTATTATAAATCGTTGCTTTATCTTTACATTTTAAATGAAAATTCTTTTAGAAACATTATAAAAAGACTTCCTGAAATTATATGTAAACCCATGTAGCAAATAGCCCTGTTATACAAATTATTTGTTAAAAAAAATAGCGAAAGAGAAGTTTTTCTAACCTAATCTGTAGAATAAACCTGATATCCTATATACTAAATTAATAAGAAGCCTGGAACTTAAAAATTATCACTTTATAACACAACTAAGGCCAATTCTTGGATGTAGTTACCACATATGCTTGCTTCTAATTCTGGACCTTCACTTTACTTAAAATAATTCCTCTAACCGCAAAAATCTTCCAAGAGAACTCAGGTCTCAGAATTGTGAAGGTTCTTTTGAGGCCACTTCTTATTGTTCACAGGTTCAAAGAGAACCTTTCAACAATAATAAAATCTTTCAAGGTCTGTTGTCAGTTTTCAAAGCCCCTATTCAAGATACAATGTACTTCTATCTGACAATACAGTATTTCCATTTCAGACAATTTGATGATGTGGGATTTCTCTCACATATTTTTAGATTACCAGCAGAGCAGCTTGATATAAATGTAAGTATAATATCTGTCAAATTTCAACATATTTTTTTCTCACAGGAGAGCTCATCTGAATTTTCATGTGTAATATAATTACATGTGGAACAGACAGTGATGACTATAGTTAAAGCTGTTCAATGCTTTCCATTACAAGAACCTATTTTCAATTACTTATAACCAGGGCTCACCAAGCGGCGGCAAGCCCCGCTCACCAGCCGCATGGTTCGGCACGCTGCACATGCGCTTACCGCACTGCGCGGCTGTGCCAGCTTGTAATCTACTCGCCACAGGCGAGTAATTTACACTAATTGTCGAGCCTTGCTTATAACTTTGCCAAACTTCACCTGCTCAAACTGACATTTTCCGTACAAGTTATCTGCCTCAAGGTTATTTATTTTATTTTTAATTGTAAAGTTTCAGCTAAAACTGAACAGCTGTTTTCAAGAATGAAGTTAGGAGAAAATATGTTCTTTGGCCCATGTTAAAAGAATTATTGTGATCACATCATTGAGAAGCTTTAGCACCTCATGCTTAGGAGTGGGCCATTTAAATTTGGCAGCAGTGGCCACTGTGGCATAGGGATATGCCTTTTGCCATCCATGAAAATTTGCTCAAAGTTTTAAGCCTCTGAAAAAAATCATAGTTTCTACAAGTTCAGTAGTTCAGTACAGGTTTGCTAGAGTGTGGCAATTAAATTTCCTAATTCCATCTGTGCTGAATATGGTCCCCCACTCCTACACAGAGCTCCAATATGCTGACTGGAATACCCAAAAGAGCAACTGAACGTGCTGCAGTCCAGGAATGCAGGCGGGGAAGGGGGGGCAGTATTTTTCATACAATTGTTTCTCCCAAAGTCAGGGGCTGCTGTGGCTCCAGAGTAACTGAGAACAGAGAGACATGTCCTGTGTTCTCAAAGATCCTTCTGCTTCCAACCAGGTGACGTGGAAGGCAAGAAAGAAGCTACCAGACTTGAATACTGCAGCCTGTCAACCTGCTTGCCTATCATGCTAATAATATGTTTGTGCTGATTTAGATTAGTTCATTAATATATTAATGGGTAGATTTAGTAGTATAGTTAAGAGCTGTAATGCAAGAAATCTGCTAAAGGCCGTTTGCAAGATCAGCAGAAGCTAGGGTTAGCATATTTCTGTGGTTGAGACACTGATCTCACCCAGATATAGGTCATAGCTTATTTAGAGCTTCCGTAGACTGAAAAGGGGAACTTATGTCTGGGACCTTTCACCCACATAGGATGGTAGGGAAAATACCCTTAGACTCAGCAGATGCATCATTATATAAAAAAGTCGCAAAATAACTGGTTCAGGCTGAGCTGAAGTAATCAGGACACAGGATATGATAAATAACCACAGAGGCCCATGGTCACAAATTGATATAAATGATTGAGAGCAATGATATATTGACCTATAGGAAAGAACACTTCAACATTAGAAACATCCCCTATTGAATATGCATCAAACTTTTCAGCATCAGTGTCACATAGTATAAAAGTGGGATCCCAGCCTAAGGGCAATAGGGAGAAGAATATGTAGTCCTTGGATGGGCCAGAATGATGGCCCCCAGTGATGATGGGGAAGGTGAAGGTAATGAGAAAGATGATGGGCTAAGATTGTTCTAGAAGGAATGATGTAAGTTTATGGATGTACATTCCCTAGCTTATGAAACTGGGGTGTTTGTGACTGTGCTAATTGTATTAATAAACTATATTTGTCAATATACAAGAATTTCTAGAGTGTGAGTGTTGTATCTGTACACATCAGGGTTCCCAATCATAGAATAACTGAATACTGGGCCTGATCCTGGGACAAAGAACATGTTGTAGGGGTAAACTGAGGCAGTCCATGGTATTCTAAGAATCCTTATTAAAATCTTAAATTTGAGGCGAGTCCTGAAAACATAAGAACGGCCGTACTGGGTCAGACCAAAGGTCCATCTAGCCCAGTATCCTGTCTACTGACAGTGGCCAGCACCAGGTGCCCCAGAGAGGGTGGACCGAAGACAATGATCAAGCGATTTGTCTCCTGCCGTCCCTCTCCAGCCTCTGAAAAACAGAGGCCAAGAACACCATTTTATCCCCTGGCTAATAGCCTTTTATGGACCTAACCTCCATGAAATTATCTAGCTTCTCTTTAAACTCTATTATAGTCCTAGCCTTCACAGCCTCCTCTGGCAAGGAGTTCCACAGGTTGACTACACGCTGTGTGAAGAAGAACTTTCTTTTATTAGTTTTAAACCTGCTACCCATTAATTTCATTTGGTGTCCTCTAGTTCTTCTATTTAGGGAACTAATAAATAACTTTTCTTTATCGGCCCTCTCCACACCACTCATGATTTTATAGACCTCTATCATATCCCCCCTCAGTCTCCTCTTTTCTAAACTGAAAAGTCCCAGTTGCTTTAACCTCTCCTCATATGGGTCCTGTTCCAAACCCCTAATCATTTTAGTTGCCCTTTTCTGAACCCTTTCCAAGGCCAAAATATCTTTTTTGAGGTGAGGAGACCACATCTGTACACAGTATTCAAGATGTGGGCGTACCATAGATTTATAAAGGGGCAGTAAGATATTCTGGGTCTTATTTTCTATCCCTTTCCTAATAATTCCTAGCATCCTATTTGCCTTTTTGACCACCGCTGCACACTGTGTGGAAGTTTTCAGAGAACTGTCCACGATAACTCCAAGATCTCTTTCCTGATTTGTCGTAGCCAAATTAGCCCCCATCATACTGTACGTATAGTTGGGGTTATTTTTCCCGATGTGCATTACTTTACACTTATCCACATTAAATTTCATTTGCCATTTTGTTGCCCAATCACTCAGTTTGGTGAGATCTTCTTGGAGTCCCTCACAGTCTGCTTCTGTCTTGACTATCCTAAACAGTTTGGTATCATCTGCAAACTTTACTACCTCACTGCTTACCCCTTTCTCCAGATCATTTATGAATAAGTTGAAAAGGATTGGTCCCAGGACTGACCCTTGGGGTACACCACTAGTTACCCCTCTCCAATCTGAAAATTTACCATTTATTCCTACCCTTTGTTTCCTGTCTTTTAACCAGTTCTCAATCCAAGAAAGGACCTTCCCTCTTATCCCATGGCCATGTAATTTACACAAGAGCCTTTGGTGAGGGACCTTGTCAAAGGCTTTCTGAAAATCCAAGTATACTATATCTACTGGATCCCCCTTGTCCGCATGTTTGTTAACCCCTTCAAAGAACTCTAATAGATTAGTAAGACAGGATTTCCCTTTACAGAAACCATGTTGACTTTTGTCCAACAAATTATGTTCTTCTACATGCTTCACAATTTTATTCTTTACTATTGTTTCGACTAATTTGCCCGGTACTGAAGTTAGAGATCCTCTAGCTGTGATCTGTACCCCATGCTACAGAGGAAGGCGAAAAACCTCCGGGGCCTCTGCCAATCTACCCTGGAGGAAAATTCCTTCCCGACCCCAAATATGGCCATACAGAACAAGCAGCTACCATGACCCTGGTCGCCCTGGCAACCGCATTCCAAGAGGGCCTCACTCCGATAAGACCTTGGCTGGTACCAAAACAAACTTTTTATGAAAGTTGTTCTCACTGTATCCTTTAATCCTAGATAAGTCTGAAACCCAAGGACTGCGCCCCCGTGGAACGAGGTGTACCGGTAGTTCAGACTAGGAAGCCTAATCTGAACTACCTAGTCCGTGCCGCGTGAAGCCGCGGGCACGGAGTCTGAACTAGCGGACATTTAAAAATGGCAGCGCCCGGCAAGATGCAAATGAAGCCCGGGAAATTCAAATACCGGGCTTCATTTGCAACTTCGGTTGCCTACATTAACCACCCTAGTTCGAACTAGGGTGGTAGTGTAGACATACCCCCTGTTCCCTGCTCCAGAACCCACTAGCACTCCTCCCCAGTACTGTGTCCCCTGCTCCCAAATGACTTTTCTATGGGTCAGTGACACCTGAGTCAAGGCAGGTTTCCTGCCATTCTCATAAATAAAGACAATGCAGAAACTTTTTGTGTTTAACATAGTATTCTATTTAAAAATGAAGCCTGGCCAACAAACCCCCAATTGGTGCCAAGCCCCCATCTGGCCACAACCACTCCTGCACTCCCCCTTCCCCAGACCCTAAATCTGAGCCTCTCAAACACTGGAACCTCATGCCCTCTGCCCCTCACATACCCCAACCCAAATTCCTGCACCCTCACATCCACAAGCCTGTGGCTTGCTTAGTATCCCAACACTGCCCAGCCTGGAGCCCCCTCCCCGAGCCAGTGTTCCCTTCTCCACCTCCTCCTGCATCCAGATCTCCTCCCAGAGCTTGCACCTCTCACCCCTTCCTACACCCAAATCCCTCATTCCCACCCCAGAGCCTACACATCCTGTCTCAACACAGCAAGGGTCCAGCTAGACTGCAGGATTTTTTCAGGATTCTGGAGATATCCCAGAAAAACTCTTCTGCATCCAGGGTTGCGTTTGTTCTTCCGCTTTTTTAGTGGAAGAGCAAACAGGCTCTTTTAGTCACCCCTATATTCCTCTTTCCACAAGGAATAAGGTGGATTCCAAAAGAAGGGGTTTTTTTCTGACATTTGGTCCAGTGTAGACAGGCCAAATGTTGGAAAAACCTCTTCGTACAGAAGAATAAAAAAAAATAAGCAGCAGTATAAGGATTAGGGATAGCAAGTGATGGAGAGGAGGAGAATAGAGAGGGCGGGGCTTCAAGAAGGGGTGGGGCAGTAGATCTTGGCTTGGTCTGTCATTTAAAAAGTGATCTTGGGTGTAAAAAGGTTGGAGACCACTGATCTAGCATCTGGGGATCAATATAGCTTTATATATTTCAATGTTTAAGTTACTAACAAAAACTTAGACAATTACATTTTTTAAAGGTTAAAAGAAAATTAAGATTACAAAATCAGAAGTTAAGAAATACCAGAAATAATTGTACCCATGCAGTCTTAATTTGGCCCCCATGAGCATAAGTATTACAATACAGTCTTATTCATATATTCATAGTGTTTACGGTCAGAGGAGGCCACTGAATCATCTCGTCTGTCCTCCTATATGCCACAATCCTTTAAATTACATCCTATAACTCTATATTAATCTTAATAACGTAAGTTTTTATGCATAAAAATAAAGTATGCATTGTATTTGGCTAAAACATATTCAGGAAGGCCTATAATCTTGAAGTGAAAGCACCTAGAAATGAGAAATCTAACCATTAGAACAAACTATCAAGAGAAGTGGTAATTAACCTCATTTAAAATTTTCTTCCTTGTTTCAAAGGGGATTTTATCTAGCATTAGCTTCTAGCCATTAGTTCTTGGTATGCCTTCATCCACTAAATTAAAGAGCACATTACCTAATATTTTCTTCCTGCGAAGGTCCTTATACAGCAATCAAGTCACCTCTCCATCTTCTTTCTGATAAGCTAAACAGATTGAGCCATTTAAGTCTCTTAGGGTATGTCTACACTAGTCCCCTAGTTCAAACTAGAGAGGCTAATGAGGGCGACCGAATTGCAAATGAAGCACGGGATTTAAATATCCTGCACTTTTATTAGCATGTTCCCAGGCGGTCGCCATTTTGGAAACTGACTAGCCCGGAATAATGGCCCACGTCTACATGTGGCAGTCAAATGGGAGTTTGAAGTAAACCCCTTATCTCAAATTGCCTGTTAAACCTCATTCTACTGCACTCACAGTGGTGGCGAGATCCACAGGAAGCAAAGTAACACACACAACATCCTGTGCCTCTCCACTGCCATCTCCCAAATGGGTTACTCTGCTTCCTGGGCTCCTACCACCACAGTGAGTGAGGTGGGGGGACTGACTCCTGCTGCCACCCCATGATATGCCCCCCGATAATTCCCCAGGTTGTGTAGCTCAGGGAAGAGGTGTAAGGGGATGGGAGGGTGGAGCAGGGGCAGGACTTGGGGTCGGAACAGGGGCAGGAAGAGGTGGAGCAGGGGTAGGGCCTGAGGTAAGGAGGGTTGCCCCCTGGATGGAAATGTGTTTTATATGCTGGAATTTTATACATTTAGAATACATTCTTGAAGTTTTCCAAATGCTCATTAATATGTTCTATTTAACATATATTAGATAAATTGTGTTTTTTCCTGCATCTCTATTTTTGAATTGTGTATTCAGTCACTTTCCAAATGTTCTTTTATCCATGCTGCAAATTACTGGAATCTGTTCGCAATAAATATTCACAGTCAGAGACAGGAATAATATGCTCTTTTGCTGAGTCACTCGCATGTAATGTGCCAGGACCCTGCTAATGGAGAATTATTTCTGAATAATTATTTCTGCCTCCTTTCTGAGGTGACAGTCAAATGGATCCTATTGGCTCCACCAGAACAATAT